TAGTTCTCCAGAATGAGACCCCTTGTCCTTTTGCTGCTACAGTGCAAGAGCCTGCTTGAGACCGTGCCCCAGTTGCTCTCACAATCCCTGCTCCTGTCCACTTACAGGAGATGTCGTCTCCATCTGTCATGTGCCTTAAGTAACTCCCCGGGTGGATCACTGTTCCCCATCAAAGCTTACTAGCTCCCTCAGGCAGAGCAATGAAGAACGGGCTCATCAGGAACAAAAACACAGTGGAAACTAGATAAATCCAATTCCTTCATTTCTCACCCTTTTCTTTTCCTTTTCTTCACAGCCTAAAGTCTGAAAGAAAAAGGAAACATGATGGAAAACAGGAACAGAGGATACTTTGCTCCCTTCAACCGCTTTCCAGAGCTTCTTCCATAAGTTCTGTCAGGGCACTTTTCATTCTTCACCTGGTTTTCAGACTCCCTCTCAGAGTCCAGAGTGCTCACCATTACACAATGGAACCCAGACTCCCTCTCATATTGAGGGGAACAGCTAGGAAACAGCTTTCTGAAAACCCAATGTCATACTTTTAGCAAATAAAGAAGCAAGGAGGTAGGAAGAAAGAATGGGGGAAGGGAAAGAGGAGAGATTGACAGGACGGAGAGGTAAATCTTATGGCACAAATCAGAATGAACAATGAGGAGACAGCAGTTGGCCCCTGTTCTCAGTCATCGCATTCTCAACCAGGACTTGACTACAGTTCCTCTTCTCTAGAAATGAGGAAGTGAACAAAGTGACTGTTTTAAGATCATTTGAGACTTTGTCAGGGCAACACACAGCCAGTTGTGAGGAAATTAAGTTTTATTCTTTGCTTTTATTGTCTTTTTGTGGCAAAATAGCTCAAATGAAAAAATTGTTTTCCATGTAACCTTCCAATTAATGGGAGCCTATATTAATCTTAATTTTAAATTAAACAGAACATTTGGATCACCTCCCTCACTTACCCATTATGTTGGAGTTATACTACAAAAAAAAAAAAAAAAATTCCCCTCCCCTCCCAAAAATGACAAGAGTGTGACAATTTGAGCAGTAACAATCAACTTAGATATTGATGACACTAGGACCCGGTAATAAATTCACAAGTAGATTTTGGTATATAAAAATTCTGAAGGGACTTGCAATTCTTGTTGCTAAAATAGATTTATTATAAGAAACCATCCATAGTCCATTCCCAACCTACCCAAACAAAATCACTCTGGCTTCAGAAAGGATCTTTGCTTAAATCCCTAACACCAACATCATTTTATAAGTCAACAGAAGAAAAAAAAAAATCAATGGTTCAATGGCTTCAAATACCACAGCACCCCATTCTTCTATCCTCCTGGCCATATAAGGCCTCATCTTATATTTCCAATATTTGGATCCCATGAAAGTAGTATTGCAGTTTTGTGGACTTCAACTTTAAAAAAGCCCATGGCAGACAGAGAGGGCTGAGTAATAATACAAGTCCTTGTTGGAGAGAATGGTGGGCATCCATGGCCTTGCTGCTGAGCACTGGGGGTCTACTTGGCAATCAGGAGCACTTGATTGTCCTGTTTTGTTCTGGTTTTTTCAAACTGGGCGTTTTTCTATTTATTTATTTATTTTATGTGGTGCTGAGCATAAAACCCAGTGCCTCACACACACTAAGCAATGCTCTACCACTGAGCTATGACTGCAGCCCTCTGACTGTCCTATTTAACGTGCACAGGGTAAGTGAGGTCTTACAGAATCTCTCATAGAAAGCAACCAGGGTTCCAAAGTTTTATCTCCACTCTCATCCTCATGAACAATTCAGTGTGAATGGACAAGAATCAGGAAGAGATAGTATTATACAGGATAATCTGCTGGCCAGAACACAGTGCGATCGGATCAACAAGGCCTTGTTTCTAGAGGCCTCTGAGCACCAGGAATGGCTTGTACCAAACAGAAACTCTCTTTGTCATAGGATTTTACCTGGTTGTACCTTTGGGACTAGCAATTTAGAAAGAAAAGACCTTCCTTAGAAAAACACCTTAAACATAAACACCCCAACAGAAAAACCCAGGGGGAGAGGCAAAGCTGTGGAAAAACAGTCACACCTGAATGTGACTACTGTGATTAAGTTTGAAAGGCATATTGCTGAACTGCTGCTTTCACGGAGGGTATCACTGGATTTATTTTGACTTGGCATTTCCATTCTTTTTACAATAGGATATTGTTTTAAGGGCACAGGCATAATAGTTATTCAGCATTATAGTTTATACAGTGGCCATAAGAATGTCTACTGTCACCCTATTAAATTGCTTTCTGCTGCTGGCCCAGCTTTTACTTCTACAACTTGCCTTGTTCTCAAGCATGTTGAAAATTACACTGCAAAATAGAGTTTCATAAATGCAGTTCCTGTAACCAAATCTATAAATGCAACAACCAAAGGAAGGGATAATAAAATGAATAAGGAGAGGACAATTCTAAATATTTACATAATCTAACAGGATGTTCACATTCGCTTTTGCTAATGAGGTAAATCAGGAACAGAACAAATATTCTGACTGGCAACTTACAGGACAATTTCATGCAGTATCTAATCCTAGATTGGATCCAAACTCAAGGAAAAAAGTGTTCTTTCTATCAAGGGCCTTAGCAGGTCAACATATGACACTGAAATGTGGATGGCAAAATATTGGACCCATGTTAAATTATTGAAGTTAAAAACTGTATTATGCTTTTTCAAGAGAATATGCTTATTTTTATAAAATAGACCCTGAAGTACTCAGGGGTAAAGGGCCATGAAGTGATTCAGAAAATTATATATATGTGTGTGTGTATATACACACACACATATATGTATGTATATACTCCCTATGTTATATATCATTATATTAAATAATTAATTATTCTATAATACATATTTTATTATATAAAATCTACATTTTTCTACATATTTTTAAATTTATTTTTAGTTGTTGATGGACCTTTAATTTTATTAATTTATTTATATGTGGTGCTGAGAATAGAACCCAATGCCTCACATATGCTAGGCAAGTGTTCTACCACTGAGCCACAACCTCAGCCCTACATATGGTTTTCTAGAGAGAAAGCAACTAAAAACAGAGCAAAGTGTAAAATGTAAAAAAAAAAAAAAAAAAAAAAAGACAATATGGGCAGAGGTATACAGGTATTCTTTTTACTAGTCTTACAACTTTCCATAAGGTTGCAATTAGAGAAGAACTGAAGCTTTCTTCAGCTAGCACAGAGTTATTATTCAAGTCTGCATAGGCCCTATCCCAGGTAAGACACTGGCCTCAGTCTGATTTCCACTTGGCTTTAGATCATTCACACCAGTCAGAGCAAGGGAGACAAAAAGAGTTGTGTGTATGGATGGATTTTTTTTAACTTTCTCTGACTTTTTTAGCAGCATGCTCATTATAGAAAATGTAAGAAAAGTGCAGAAAACTAATAAAGAAGAAAAATCCACCATATAAATCCACAATGCTAGAAAAAAATTGTCATTTTGGCATGTTTCCTTTCAATCTTTAAAGTTTTAAGAGAACTGGTATTATGTTATATAAAGAATGTAGCCTGGTGGGKTTTTTTCTCTCTTAACTTAATATAGCATTTTCCTACAACATACGTAAAAACAAAAGCTTCATTAAATCTTCAATTTCAACACAATATTCTATTATTTAGATAGTCCATAATTTCCTAAGTATTTGCCTGAAATTGGTCCTTTGGTTATTTCCAATGTTTATTATACATAATATTGAGTTAAAGATTAAAATTTTTGTACTGGCACTGACGGGGAAGAGGGGAAATATTTACCTTTATGATAGTTTCACTAATATAGAATTGCTGGGTCAAATGGCATAACACTTTTAAGATGAAGTAGAAAAGGCCAAATCACTTTTTTAGATATCTAGGGACACACCTTTATTCTTTTAGGGGAAAAGTAACACCTGAATGGGATTACCAAAACTGGGCTAGAATTTCCTTTAGGATTTAAAGAAAGGGAAGTTGCCACAGTCCAGCTGGGCAAATAACCGGGAGGTGACAAGCAACTTGAAGGTTCAAGCGGGAACTACTTTATTACGGAGCAGCAGGAGCATGTATACCTAACTGATTACACACAGCTTGACTCAATTAACATCATCTAGATACAGCAGTCAGCCAATAAGGAATCCTCATCATCTTAATGGCTCTCACAGGCATTGCTTCACAAACCACTCCTCCTGGCAAACTGCCAGGTGCCATCTTGACTTGATTTGCATCCCCAACAGGAAGTTATAGCCATAGTCAGAAAACTGCAATCTTCAGGTTCAATTTGGCTCTGGGACAAGCTCTATAAGCTGCATTTTGCCCTCCAAAGAGGAAAGACTAAAATGTTCCATCCTATATCTACATACACCAACTACTAGAAAAGGGATATAGAGCCCAACCCAGTGTGAGCATCTGTCATCCAAGAGCCCATCCTATCCTTCTGATGAAAATGGGGTCCTAAAATTTAAGTGTGTGTGTGTGGGGGGGGGGGGGGGGGATTGTACATGAGGAAAGCAATTGGAATTGAAAAGTAAGATTCAGATTCAAACCTTACAAGTTGGGTTTTGTTTCTTTTTTAGCAGCCCAATGACATCAGAAGAGAAAAGGCTCCAAAAGTCAGGAGATGTGCCGTCTCGTCCCATCTGTCCTGAACAAACAACTAGCCTGTTGTTTTGAGTCAAATCTCCCTGGACTACATTTCCTTCTTTATTAAATGACAAGTCAAACAAGGTCCTCTCAACTCTCAATTGATTCTGCAACACTCTCCTGTTTTAAAGGTGCTGGAGGAAATGGCAGAGAAGTTATTCTCTCTGAATGCTTTTTTTTCTGGTGAGATGGTTAGAATCATCTGCCATAACACAACTAGATCAAGTAACACTTGGTGTACCAAAGGAGGTTCCACAAACTTTGTATTTCCCATTCCTATAAAAAAAAAAAAAATGACCTGAGGGAAAGACAGGGAGATCTGTAAGAAAGGAGAAAAAAAGAAGGCTCACCATGGCCATTGCAGTAGTAGATCCACTTCTCTCGGTTCTGAGTTGGAGTCATGGATTTCTTCAGCGCCGCYTTTTCCACAATGGCGCTGGGATCCTGCCTGGGCCCCTTTTTCAGAGTCCTGGAGCTTTTCCGGATACTGCATACTACTATCACCACAAGCACCAGCAGCAGGAAAAGCACAATCATCCAGGGCAAGTGCTCATTGATGTCAAAATGCTTGTGCAGGTTCTGTCTGGGATGGCCCCTCTTGGGGCCCTTGATGGGTGTGCTGGACTTTTCGCCCCCGGTGGCCTCCATAGATGGCAGCAGCTTGAGGATGTGTCGGTGGTGGGGGCCTTGCTGGTGGCTGACTATCTGGAGGCTTGGGAGGGTCTTGTTCACGCCTTCCTCCCCACTGGCTGAGCTTGTGTTGTCAGGGACTGTCCCTTCTTGGATGCTACTCAGTACCTTTGGTCTAACAGAGGCAGAAGAGTTGGATTCTGTTGAGGTCATGCCTAGAAAAAAAGAGTAAGGAGCAGGGAAGAGCTTTTCCATATTTGGGGATCTATATATTCCCTCCTCTCCCTGGCCAGATAATCAAAGAGAAGAACTTTGAAGCTTAAGAATAAATTATGTTTCACATTTTCATAAAGGCCTTTTATGAAAAGCACCTTTATTTAGAAGGTAAAATCTGAATAGCTAAACTCATTTCTTGCACAAAAAGCAAGAGCACACTCAGGGATCCACTCCATCTGAGTGTCACATCTTGAGTGGAGAGATGTGTGTTCAATGCTCCAGTCAACTCTAAATTGTTTTGATTATTCAGAAAACTAGTTCAAATTTAATCTCTTTGTTCATACTCCTCCTTTCTTTAGACTCTTTCATGATGCAATGATGAGCATATTACTAAGATAAAGAACAGAGATCAAATACAAATCCAAGTCTGATTAAGTGGAAAATTTGGTGGAACAGGTCAGTGAATAAAATAGAGCAGAACTTTTTTAGCACCTGTTATCAATAGATTAAACAAGATTGGGGCTGACATGAGTGGACTTCCTTCAGAGAAGCTTCCACAAGTAGTTTCATTAAGCAGTGTGAGAAATGGGAATTTTGAAGCCCCACGGACAAAACTTGGCCTTGTGTCATTCCCTGAGAAAGTCTGGAGTGGCCATTCAAACTCTTTRTGTCTGTTTCTTTATTTCAAAACGGCAGATATAAAAAGGTTCTCCCGATAGTGTTATGGTGAAGGCCAAATATCTTTACACAAGGGAGTTGCTGGGATGCACAGCTCAAGTTGGTTATCATCTCATAAAAATTAAATTCCATCAAAAAGAATTAAAAATAAAGGCTAACTCCATATTCTGCCAGAGGTTCAAATGGAATCTCAGGAAGACTGGGATATTTGATGAGGGGCACAAAGTTAAGATCATTGAAAAAAACACTAAGTTATTCTTTTCTAGTTATCTTCAATCTGTGGTATATTTGCTTGTCTTCTGAAGCTTCTAACTTTCCTTTACATTCTTTGCCCTACCTTAGATTCATTGGTTCCTTCCAGATGTAATGGCAATTTCTCCCTTTCTCTCTGTCTTTCCTTCTAGTGGTGTTCACCCAGGGTTATTCCATGTTAGAACACAATCCAGAAGGAACCTTAAACACTTAAATCACTCACTTAGCAAGTTTGAAACTGAGACCTGAAGAGGTTAAGTGACTTACATGAGGTCATATGCTGTCCTTATTTCTCTAGGTTCTTATTTTTCTAGCTTGATGTGACCTAGTTTTAGATATTTGATCTCTCCTAATAGAAAAAGTTTAAATGTTTCTAACAACTCAAAAGAAGCCAGATTTAATTAGCCACAAAATGAAGGGCTCTTCTCCAAGGGATGACTTTGGAATACACAAAATGGAGAACACATCCTTGGTAYAAGCCCCCTCATGGTACCTCCAGTGGGCTCAAAGTTTTCCTCAAAGAAATAATCCATGAGGTTAAATTACCTTTGGGAACATAAGTGGAAGAAGGGACTTCATGGGATTCCATGTGCTCAGGGCTTGAAAAGATGGCTGTGCCAGGGGAAGGCGGGGCCGTGCTGGAGGCCAGGTGTGTGCCACAGACGTTGTCTGTCTCCTTGGTCCCCGGCTTGATCACCACCAGGTTCTGACTCAGACAGTCTGTGTATGTTTTGCATTTCATCACACTAGAAGGCACATCAGAGAAGGTACCCCGAGGGCACTGCTTACACCGCACGTCCTCGTTCTCTGTCCCTTTCTTCCGCACACCCCAGCCCACAGGACACACTGTATGGGGTGCGCAGGTACCATTAGACTGGAACGTGCCAGGTGGGCAAGTGCATTCTCGGTCAGTCAAGGCAGCACAAGGTAATGTCTCAACCATTGGCCGTGGGCATGGCTGACTACAGTCATGGCATCTCTCTATGCCATTTTCATGCCTAGTAAAGGTCCCTGGAGGGCAACTGCTGCAAACTCGCAGGCTTGTGTTGGTACAATGCTCGGAGACATAGGTTCCTGCTGGACACTTGTCACAGGTTAGCACCTGGCCAGTTGCACGGTCAACATGGCGGTATGTGCCAATGAGACTTGGGGCCTTCGGTTCTGGCTGAGCCGARGTGGTGCTAAGGAATCCAAGCTGAAAGAAATAAAAGGGGAAGGGAAAGGAACAAAAACCAAGAAGGTGTTAAATAGGATAAGAGGAGAAGAAAGGACCAGCAATCCCAACACCACTGCCATCATTCTTGATAAAGGTCTGACCAATGCCACATGCACTTGACACAATAGCCTCAAAATGGTAGGAAGAGGGAAACGAAGACTTGAACTGCACATTAGTGCCTGATTTACTAGCTATGAGGCTTTGGTTCAGCTGACCTTTGCCTCAGCTTCCCATTTCCATCTGTAAAATGAAGCTGATAATACTTCTCAAATTGATTATAAAAATCAACTGAGCCGGGTGCAGTTGCACATGACTGTTGTCCTTTCAGATCAGGAGGCTGAGGCAGGAGGATCGTGAGTTCAAAGCCAGCCTCAGCAATGGAGAGGCACTAAGCAACTCAGTGAGACCCTGTCTCTAAATAAAATACAAAATAGAGCTGGGGATGTAGCTCAGTGGATGAGTGTCCCTGAACCCTAATACCCGCTCCCCCAGCAAAATATCAATTAAGAATAGGAATATGAAAGCACTCTGTGGATAGTATTTTAAAATGGTATATATGGGCTAGGGATGCAGCTCAGTACCATAAACTAATAATGATAATAATAATGATGATGGTGGTCCTATATAGAAGTAAAAAATCCTAAATGTAAGAAGAAAATAAGTGAATAGTTGTCTTCCTTTCCCTGACCCAGATGTTAAGCTGTCATTCCTCAATATCAAAACAAAGCAACTGAGAACCAAGATGGCATGCATTCAAGCTACCACTTTCCTAGCACCATATTGCATGGTCAGGGTTAACCTGTAGACCTGGCATGATTTTTTTTTTTTTCAAAGGCTTCTTCTAAATGAAGTTAAACTTCCTCTTTTTTCAAAACAGAGGCAGGCCCTTGGCATTCCTGGTAATGTGCTTTAAATAACAGAGTTGATGCTTTTATATTCACACCCTGTTTATACAGCCTCTGAAGCCTGCAGCTGCTAGGTCATGGGCCTGCAGCCACGAAGACCCGGCAAGAGGGACTCAATAGACATTTCTATTTCTTTCATAGAACAGAAACTTCACTCAGCAAAAAGGATTTTAGGCTAGCTTCAAGATGAAAACTCTAGGGGAAAGCAAATTATTTTTGTGGTASTAAATCCCAAGGTCCTTTGAGAAGTGAAGGAGTAAGAATAGAAAGCTTTTCTGCAGTAATGAAGATTGAGAGGTTCCAGCAGTTCTCACTGTCCTCTATGAAATGGAGAAAGTTAGTAAGAAAACAATAGCTGCCTCAAACTACCAACTACCTGCCCAGGCAAATTCACGCTAAATTTACCACTGTACCAGTAACTAAGAGAATAAACCTAGATTTTTTTCAAAGTGATTAGAGTTCCTGTCTTAGCATCTTGACGCTTCATCCAAGGTTCAGTTCCTCCCCTGCCCCAGAATTTAACCATCTGAACCAAAATTATTTCCCTTAAATTCTCTTATCCCAAACAAACCTCCAGTTAAGTGACAACAAACACTTTTTGGCTTATAATATTCAAGATTTTCTTTAATCTGAGACCAAAAGAAAAAAAAAAGTTTAATTTCATCTTCTTAAGCTTAACTTGATGATAAATTCTGTGATGTCTTCCCTTTTTTCACTTCTGGCTTTACCTTTCCTTTTCTCGCCTCTTCTACTTAGAAAATCAGCTCTAGCCACCCTCTTCTGAGCACAGCAGATGCACTAGGTAGAGGGAATTGTCCTGTGGAGGCCAAGTTCATTTGGCAGGTATACCAAGAACAAGATTAGTTCCAATCACCCCAAAACTGAAGATGAGGTCAAAGAGATTTCCAGGGTCTCTGCTACTTGGAGCTCTTTATTATGTAACATCAACATGCAAAAGCAGTTTTTTTTTTTTTGTTTTTTTTTTTTTTTATATAGCCACAGCATCCTGGAAAGTTTGAAAGATTTTTAAGGTAACCAAAATGAAAGCAGGCAACAGAATCTGAATCCTGGCCTGGGAGTGGTGGTCAGGGATGAACACTCTGATGTGCAGTGTGACCTAAGTCTGCCTCCCTTCCTCTGTGGAAGGCTGGGCAGTCAGCCACACAAACACACCAGGAGGGTGGCTTTGCAGATCAAGCACAGGTCATAAAATGGCACTGTCTATGAATATGCATGGGATTGGGTATAGACATCTGATATGGTTTAGATAGATATAAGGTATCCCCCTAAAGTTCATATGAGACAATGCAAGAAAGTTTAGAAGTGAAATGATCTGGTTATRAGAGTTTTAACCTAATCAGTACATTAATCCCAATAGAAATTACTGGGTAGTAACATAGGCAGGTAGGGTATAGCTGGAAGAGGTAGATCATTGGGGAGGGCCTGCTTTTGGATATATATATATATTTAATTCCTGGCAAGTAGAATGTTCTCTCTCTCTCTCCCCCCCCGCCCTCTCCCTCCCTCCTCTCCCCCCCTCCTTCCTGGTTCTAACTGGAGAGTTTCTTTCCTCTACCACATACTTCTCCCATGATGTTCTGCCTCACCTCAGGCCCTGAGGAATGGAGTCAGCTATCTATGGACTAAGACCTCTGAAACTGAGAGGCCCAAAAGAAACTTTTCATCTATAAAATTGTTCTTATYAGGTCTTTTGGTCAGAGCATCAAAAAAGCTCACTAAAACAACTTCCTACAGCTGTATATATCTCCCCCAGAGTATGCTTTTCTAAATTTGAAATAGAGGATGGTAGGTTCTCCATCAGACCCCTGACTACTGAATTACCAGGTCTCCCTAGCATTACACAAAATCTTCCTCCAAACCCCACTGCACCTATACTCTTGCCCATGCTTTGAGTGGACTTATCAGTTCTTGAGTCTGAAAATGGACCTTTAAATTACCTCATGCTAAAGGTTTTGATTCCAACTCCAAAAACCAGCTGACACAGAACAGATGCTTTCACAGTCTTGCCTGGGCTAAACAATAGAAGTGAAATTTGTGTAAAAACGGGACTGTACGAATTTACTGGACAAATATTTCTTGAAGACTCACTATGTATGTGCAAGGCACCATGCCATGGGTTGAAAACAGAATTTTGAGAACTCTATCTCAAGTGAGATTCACAAAAGCTACAAAACCAGTAATCAGCCAGAACCAAGATTGTTGTAGAGAAGGAAAAATACAGAGTTCTGTGGGAGGGCATTGATAGGCACTTCCTAGCTCAGAAAAGTTAAATGTTTTGAAGAAGCTTTCAAGGATGGAGAAGCAGAAATTAACTACAGGGGAAAAGGCAGGGAGAGGTGGAGGGTATCAGGCAGAGGAAATTTCAGAGCAAAAGTGTGAAGGATAAAGAAGCTCAGAGCAGGAACTAAAATGCTAAGGCTCTACCTCAAGATGCATCAGAGTGGCCACAGCTAAAGTTGAAGAGACTCCAAATCTTTATCTTAGCTTGAAATGCAATGACAAATGATTTTGTGTTTATATTGGGGGGGAGGTGTAATCACATTTGTGAATAAAAAGTATCTGGTTGCAAAGTGGAAGGTGACAGTGGAGGTGGACAAGAAAGTGCACCTAGGAGGTGAGAGCCTACATGAAAGTTGGTGGTGACTGGGACTAGCATGGCAGCCATGGAAACAGGGAGAAAGTAATAGATTTGAGGGCTTCGATTGGCTGGATTTGCTCAGTGGTTACTATGGAGGRGAAAGAGGAAGAAAGAGACATGGCTTTCAAACTGGACCCAAAAGAGCACTGGACGAGACAAAGCACATAAGACTCCTCTTGGACCAAGAAGGAGTAAGAGGTAGGTTCCATGACTGTCTACCTCTGCCTCTAACAGAGCAGCTCCACTTTACCAATTTGCTAATGAGTAGTCTTCCAAATGAAGAATTCATTTGAAAGAGAGTTAATTCCTAAAATGATTCTGAAAAGATCTCTTTTAATTCTAAAGTCAAAAGCTAAATGCATCTATGCTTCAAAGATGGAGGAGCCACACCAAGGAAGTGATGGCAACCTCTCCTTTATCTTTACAGAGACAGATGGCACCTAAGAGAAGTTATTATAGTGAGATCTCTTAGACTACTGCTAAGACTCCTGATCTACTAGCTTTTCCCACTAGCCTGCTGGCAATCCCTTGGCTTCTAAGAAAATTAAACATAGGAAAAATCATTCCTAGAAAGGATCCTGCAGGTGAAGTAATGGGTAGTGAGGATGAGGTGGATCAATTTTTAAAAACAACATTTAAAGCTGGGTGTGGTGATGCACACCTGTAATCCCAGCAGCTCTGGAGGCTGAGGCAAGGAGGGTCACAAGTTCAAGGTCAGCCTCAGCAGTGTAAAGAGGCCCTAAGTAACTTAGGAAAACCCCATCTCAAAATAAAAAAAAATAATAATAAAATTAAAAGGCCTTGGTTGTAGCTCAATGAGAAAGCACCCTAGGTCCAATCCCCATTTTTTTTTAATTATATTTAAGGTGCTGAGGCTTAAATGTGTGTGTGTGTGTGTGTGTGTGTATAAGCTTAAGGATGGTCTCCATATAATGTCAAAACAAATTTAGATGATACCTAAAGCTAATGCAAAGGAAAACAGGAGACATAGTCATTGAAAAATGGAGAGTGGGGGCCAGAAAACCCAAGGCTGGGTCCAACCTAATCAAGATCCTTAATTCTCACATTGGTGCACAGGTAGATATACTAGAACAGAGGTTCTTCACCAAAGCCTCAGGCCTCAAATGCCGCAACAAAACTACCTGGGAAGCTTTAAAAAGAAAAAAAGGAAAAAAAAAAAAAAAAAAAAAAGAGTTCACATCCCTAGTCTCATACTCTCAGATCACTGTGAGCCTGTAATGAGACCAAGAATTTGTTTGTTTCAGCTGTGGTTTGTTTTGCTCTCCTAATCATTTTGAAACTCAACTATGTTTTAGACCCCAGAACTAATCCAGGACCCCTTTGGCTCTAATCTTCTCTGATTAAAAGACATAATTTGGACATAGCCTAATCCCATCTCTGWCAGAGTGACTGCT